GGGGAGGGAACATGAGACTAACGACAACCATCGTTAATCACATTGTCGATTTCTGCCGTTACTACTTCCTCCTCTTTCCCTTTCCCCGGCGTGTGCCTCTTCATACTGTTCGGGGGCAGTTTCCAGTAGTACCCATGCTCTGCGGCTAAACCAATGTTGCGGACAGATCCAAACCACTCCTACAGAGAAATATCATCGTTATCAATAGAGTTCCACCCGTGATATGAAAAAAAACTAACGAATGATATATTTCATGACTACCGCATAGCGCGAATATTGCGTTCTAATACGACATTTCACGTGAAATGTGTGAAACGCCAATACCATGAACTAACCTGTAATAAAGACTTCTCCCGCCCGCTCAAAATGACCACCGTATTCCTAGGGTCACTACACAGCTTCGACAAGGCGTCCAATACTGCTGCTGAGGGTGGGTTGCCGTGGGACATCAACGCACTGGACTGAGGAGAATACCACATCACAGCCACATTCATCGAAATAACACCAATCTGGCAGATTTACGTGTCCGACGACAAAGAGGAAATTCTTTCGCGAGGACAGCAAATGGAATTTCATTCTTCATACGACGATGGAGTTTCACCCGTAAAGTGGCGTAACACCCCGTGAAAAACGCGATATTCGCGACATGCAATAGTCGTGAAATCACGGGTAAAACTCCAATGTTCATGTTCATATACTATTTGAAATTTCAATCCCAACAAAAACTCGACTCTCACTACTACTACTACTACTACTACTACTACCTCTGCATTCACTTCAGGTTCCGAATGCCTAAACATGCGCCTCAAGTCTGGTGCCAGGGTGCCCTCATTATCCAGAAAGAATATCCTCCTCTGGGCCTTACTATAGTCCCTCACAACTCGAGGGACATCCAGTTTGAAGAAATTATGATCGTCGATTTGTGCCAGGACTTGGCCGCTACCCCGGACTCCCCAGGCAACCTAATGACAATTTTGGGGAAAATATATATTTGGTTTCATCAGCTGAGCTCAGGTGTTTCCAAAGAGTTAATATACGAATTCGGGAAGAAGTTTGCAGAAATCAATATTGATTCTCCTTATACATATTGTCACCAACACATGTGGTTGACCTTTTGCATATTCTACTAACAACACCAACAAAGTGCCACCCCAGAGTCCGCACAACTATAGGGCTGCTAATGTTCTAAGATCAAGGAACTCCCACCTCCTTGTCAGCATCGGGATTGGACATTCTCGACATATAATGGGCCCTGCATCGCGCCAAGTCGTTGATGATACCCTGAGCCCATCTCAACAGGCTATGACTAGTCACATACGAAATGTCTCTTGCGAACCTACTACCAACAGTGAATACATCAAGAAAATCATCCAAAAACCTATAATGTTCCCGGGGGGAACTCGTTTTGAATTTTACACATGGCTAGGAACACTCTCTTCGAACAGTTCTCCATGCAAATGTCACATTGGGAACATTTTCCCCATCGTTATCAAACCCTAACGTTCCACCTAGTTCCTCTCACCGGCTCGTTAGTTCCTGCATAGGAAGCGTAAGACTCTCATCTAGCATATTGAGCACTTTCTCAGTGTCCCACGGATTCACCCTCAGACTGCCTGTCAATACTTGACTACAGCCCGAGAACTCCGAGCAGACCACCCGCCCCAACAGCGCTCCCTGCTGGTCTAGAACACAACGAGGCGATGCCGTTGGGTCTTCGTCTACATTCAAAGACATCGCGTAGCGAGCTGAGAGATACCTGAGCGAAGTCGTGGGAAAATATACACATGACCAACTACAAGTGTCAGCGACAATACGAAAATTTTGAGTTAATTTTGCGTGCCCTGCTTCGTGAGAAAACTCCCGAAATCAGCTGAGAAGAGCGAACATATATTCCACCAACACTGCTCACGAGTGTTACTTTCGTGATCCATGAACGAGTGGTACGATAGCAAAGTTGAACATCGACCGTACTGATTTTTCGAGACATTTACCGGGAGAAATCCAGTTATGGAGCACGTTAAGAGTGAGGCCTCAAAGATACTGTGGGGCTCGCATGGCCATACCCACTGAAA